TTTGAGAGTTACTACACCGGCAGCCAATAGAGTATATGCAGTATTTTTGGGCGAATACATTTCGATCGTGATGCCATTCTATAATTTCAATTTTTAATTAGCATCACTGCCATGGAGGTCTGCCTTGCGGTGTACATTGATCAAACTGACTAACCGTTTCTATGTAGTGCACAAAGAGATTTGACACCACCACACTGTAGATCGTGGTGAAGTCAAGGGTGTTCGTCTGATTCGTTAGAATCGGCGTCGTCTGCAGTTCGAAATCGAAGAATTCCAGGGACAGAAAGTATGCTGGGCACACGCCAACTGCAGCAACAAACTCATCTGTGAGGCTGATCGAGGTGAACATAATAGAAAGATCTGTTGTGAGTTCATTCTTGGCTTCCTAAATGAAGTTGTTGCTTCCATGAAAGCAGTAAATGTAACTGAAACACTCACCACCGCCTTGAGCGGAATCGGTTTCTGGGTGCCGTAGGCAATGGATCGAATTTGTTCCTCTAGCAGAAGCACCTTTTTCTGCTTTTCCACAACCTTGTCTCGCATTTCCGCTAACTTCGTTTCATATCGCACCTTCACAGCCTCCATCTCCTCTTGTAGCAAGGTGATCTTAAACTTTATTTATTTATTTATCTAGTTCTTTTTGACAATTGAAGCCCAGGAAGATTAATTAATTGAGCATAAATAAACATTAGTAGAAGGAGAGGATGTAAAAATTTGTTTACAAAGGATGGTAATAGTTAGTAGTAGTTAGTTAGTCACTTAAGACTTAGGAACAGCTCCGATGCTCAGGTGGTGGTGGGGGGAGAGGTTGAATATGTTCCTTTTCAAATATCTACGAAAGTAGGCGAATTTATGATCCGCCTGTGGAATTCAGATTTTATAGATATTATAGATTATAGATTTTATAGATTTGAGCCACTATTATCCAGGCCACAATCCCCTTCCACCTGGTCAGAAATTTGCACCCCTTTCTCACATATTATATGTTTGTTTTGAAATCTTCCTTCCTTGTTCCAGATCTATTCGGAAGCTTTTTTAGATCAACGTATAAAATTTATGTGGTCAAAAAATTGTAGTATCGCACCTGTACACATGTGTCCATCAAACAAATTTACAAATAAATAAATAAATAAACAGATAAATGGACTGCTCAAATTATGCGCACCTCAGTAGTCTGCTTCTGATTGATGTTGTGTTGAATGAGGAGCATGTTGCGGACCTTCTCTAACTCGTCGTATAGACCGGCATACATCTTCTTCCATCTTAAGTTTAAAAAAGTACTCCGAAAAAACAAATGACAACATCAAGAAAGCCTATTGGATCTGTTCGGTAAGATATGTTGTTCATACTAGAAGTAGGTGCGAAATTATCCATTTCCATAGGAATGCCTTTTATGAGGCCACGAGAAACGTCACCGTTAAAAAAGATTGAATTCGAGACCGCTTGACCAACATTTCTGGCGTGTCTAGCCCATTTCCCCGATGTATGTCGAGTGAGTCCAAAGGATTTGAAACATATGGCCTATCAGTTCGAGAATGCATCCTGCTTCTTAACACGTGCACGATCAGGCGTTTTCGTGTGGGACCGCCATCCATCGTTACCATCTATTTTTTAAAAGTGCATTCACGCCCCTTAGAATTAGAGTCCCTCGTTAATTAGTGTTTCTGTCTCGAGTAATGAACAGGGGCGCGGTGAAAAGAAACAGCGACATTGTCAGGATAGAGGGGACTGATAAAAGTTGTGGCTCCTCGCAATGGCTCGATAGCCTACTATCCATTGCGAGGAGTCACAACTTCAATTAGTAAATTGAACTTGGAGAGAGATTCAGACAGAGTTGAGCCTGCGCCACAAGTCGCACCACATGAGTAGTTAATTTCGGTGAGGTTGGCATTTTTCGGATGAAAGTGGTTTATACGAACAGTTTCCTGCGGACATAACCGCCTTTGCTGTGTCCTGCGAAGGTGGCCGATTTACTTCAGCGCAGGCAATTTTAGCGAAGGAGATGCGAGAAATGTCGGTGCTTTCTGTAATGATTTTATGTCGTATAACTTCGCTTCCATGACCTGCATAATAGACTCCAGCAATTAGCATGGAGCCGTGTAAGTACATCTGATCTCCTTTTTGAGCCGACGACGTCGTCTACGCTGCGCATTACGTCTACGCTACAGAATAACACAGGCACTCGTGTGAGTCACTCAACGAAGCGGCAGCACCCCTAACCTGATTTATTTGAGCAGGTTATTAAGGAGTACTGGTCACATTCGGTTGAATATTCAGGAATCTTCGCCGCTGGAGTTCCGTGCAGGTAATGCCAGATAGGAAATAAAAAAAGATCTAAAATGAGAACGTCCGTGAAGGTGAAAGTGAATTGACTGATCAATTTGGCCTTGAATCCTCTCAATTCCAGTAGACCACGGAGGCTATTTCGATGTTGCCCTTGATAAAGGAGTAGAACCATACATTATTATGTCTTTTATCTGTCATTCATCTTAAATGTTCTTTTCCTCAGGGTGACCTTATATTATGAAACGGTGCAAAAATCGAAAAATAATTACAAAAAAGTTCGAAGAAAAGCTGCTCCCACCAAAATTGCGATACAGGGGTTATTCGTAGTGGGGAATCATTTGGTGATAGTGGAAAAATCACCAGTTGGCTGCTGAGCCGATATGCAATATTTTACGGTGACCGTCATAATTATGAACGCAAAACTCATTAAACATCACCCACTTCGTAATATTCTCAGAAGACACGCCCGATCCATCGGTGTCGCCATGCTCGAGGCGGTCGTCATGGGATTCAAGAATAGCCGATACGTCACGATAGAGTCGCTCTAGTATGTCGTCGTCATTTTTGCTCTGGAATGACGAATCAAGCTCTGTGAACTGACTACAAACTAACGACCGGGACTCCAATCTGTCATCATAAAACAATCCATTTTGTGTGGATGCTTACCTTTTTCCTTCGTTTGCCGTCACTGCTTTCCTTCTTTGGTGGCATCTCAAACTCATCCACAGATTCTTCACTCTTTCTAAAAGGCATCTTTAAAAACTTCCATAAATTTATTCCACGGCAACTTGGCGATGAGACCTACCACTCTGGCCCGCGCATTGCAATGGACTGTGATACCGGCTTCGAGGTCAAATATTCACATGGAAAGGGTTTTTCTCAAGGTTAGAAATTTGCAAAATTTCTGAATTGATTAGCTCAACTGTTTCTTATTTTTTGCCTGATATTTGAACTAATCGTTGCTAGGCGACGTATGGTCCTACCAAAGTGACGGCACAGGTTCAAAAAAGGGCTCAAAAAGGAACCTGGACGATTTTCATCTCTGTAGCACTTACGTGGGCTCCTTCTGCTGTGCCTTGTCCGCTTTGTGTGATCTCTTCAGCTTCTGCTTTTCCGTTTTCAGCTTCTGCTCAGCTCGCAACCTCTTCTGCTCACTATCCTTTATCCTCTCCTCTAAGAATGAAATCTGCTTTCTCAGTTCGATTTGTTCCTTCGCGCTTTCATCGAATTCCATCGATAGTGACCTGAGCAAATTTTATTTCAATGATAAATACAATTCAAGGACCCCCATTGACTTACTGCTTCACGAGACGTTCGTTCGCCTCTTTGAGCACTTCATTTTCTGACTGGATCACTGCAAGCTGCTTGGTGAGAAGCTCGATTCTGCCTACATATTGGCTGTCGTCACTTCTCTCCCTTGCGTTTCGTGCTTCGACCTCAAGCTCGCGCACCGCAGATGACTTCTGCTCAAGCTGAGCACGGAGGTCCACCACGAGCTAAATCCCTTCTTATATTCGACGTGGTCGAGTTTCAAATCGGATGAGAACATTTTCTCCCCACTTTCTATCTCTTTTTTGGGACTGTCAGCATTTGGCAGGCACTTTGAGTATAAAGGGCCGGAAGCAAGTCGGTTTCGATGACATCGTTGCGCGCATCGATGATCGAACCTCTCCAGGCACTTGGGAGGGAGGAGGGGCGGAGCAGAGGGGAAATTAAGACCACCTCTCGATTCCATCAGTGACGTCCAACAACGCCGTCAAAACCTCCTCACTCCGCCTTACGGCTATCGTGTTCACTGCCTTTAAGGCGTATTATATGCAACAGAACTCAGAACAAACAAACCCCATTGAGTCGTTCAATTTCATACTGAAGTTCCGCCACTTCGCTGTTCTTCTCTCTGACTAGTCGATTCAGACGAATGAAGGCGGCTTTGTCTTTCAACGAACTCTCACTTATTCGAGCAGGTGGTGTTCTAAAATTGCAAGAGATTAAGACTTGAAATTGTCAAAAATTTCTGAAATAGATGCGACCTTGTTCTTTCACTGGGCTGTTCAGTTCTGCTTGTTTTATCGGCGGCGGTCGAAGCTGTTTGCGGCAGACGTCGAATAGACGGCTGTGGACGATACGTGGTTCGACCCTAAGGCAAGCGAGTAATAAAGTGAACTCTCGTGCCTCAAACCCTGCTTTGGCCCTCTCTACTTGCTGCTATCAAAAACAACACAGCAGTCTGCCTTCGAGTATCTGCGTAGACGGAAATGTTGGGACGAATTCCGTCATTCAATTAGCAGTGCTAAAAAGGGTGCCACAGTGAGCTGTATGCAGCCTTGGCCTTCATAACGAGCTATTTTTTGCTATTAACAAGAAGCAATGTTATGAGCTCGGGAATTCATGCGATTCCCCATGGGACCACCAAACTCCCACCCCTCCAGAGTCGGCCGAGTTGTAGTACCAGGCTTGTTCATCGGCTGGCTCCCGCACTTCATTGTGTTGGCCAAATCGATAAAGACCACAATAAATCTGAATGGAAGTGGAATGAGTGGCACATTTAAAAGCCAAGAGAGAGGGTTCAACCTCCAATATCTTCGGAGAGCTCGGGTTCTCAAAAACGCGTTGATGGTTCATAGAAAAGAAGCTCCTCCATAGTGGAATTTGATTTTTGTCGAAAAAGTAGGAGCGTAGTAGCCTCGGTTTGGCGACTTATGAACCCCTTATTTTTCGAAATTGAGTGTTCAAGCAAAAGCAAACATCCGAAATCAGTGCGACCCCCACACAGCACCAAACTAACGTGTAAGGATAAAACGTGCACTGGTAGCAGCGATATGTCATGGTATGGTTTCACACGAGTGCAATTATATCTCCACGAGTCAGCATGCGCGGCGATCTCTTCAGATTTTTGGTCTCGCAGATGCGCGTTTTTGCTATATAGAAAGAGTATCCTATGTGGCTGTAAGCTGATAGTGTGAGTATTGGTTTAGTGGCACGCTCACCACGCGAGCGGTCCGGGGATCAAATCCTGGGTCGTGAGTCGCCCGGGCCAACCAAGCCTTCCATCCCTCCGGGGTCGGTTAATTGGTACCAGACTTGTCTGGGAGGATAAAAACACTGACTTGAACATCGGCCTGGCCCCCCCGCAATTCATGAATAAATGACTTGTACATCGGCTGGCCCCCGCAAGTCATTGTATAGGCCACATCGCATTCAAACGCCACTACGAATGTACAAATGGAAGTAGAATGCGTGCCGCATCCCAAAAAGGGATTGATCAACGGCAAATGCTTTATCCTTTATCCTTTTATGTATGTGTGTACATACTTTACGATAAATTTCGAAGGAACATTCCAATGATTCCCCATCGAAGCAAAAGACTCACCGTCATCGCGGATGCTGTGATAGGCCGCGCTGCAGGAGTGGTATAGGTGAGGATCTGGTGCTTCACTGTTTTCAGCTGTAATGGGTTATTTTAGCGGATACCAAAGCAGCAGGAAACGATGCTAACCTTCAAGGCAAGGACTTGATTTTCTCGTTGAAGTTCTTCGTATTTTTCCCTGAGCACATAAGCATCCTCCTTTGCTTTTCGTTCCATCACAGACGATCGCAATCTCGTATTGAGCCTGAACATAGCATTAGGAAATTGAATGAGGAAACTAAGCAGCATGAGAGTTACACAGTGATTTTCTTCTCTTGTTCGTTGATCTTCTTTTGAGCCGTTTGCAATTGCTGATAGGCCGAGTGGAAATTCTCCTCCAACTGCACCCGACTCCATGTTTCGATCGGAGGTCGCACCACCATGTTCGCTCTGGAGCCCTGCCTTTAGCCCAGAAAATCCTGGGCTTGAGCTCGATCTTGACTGAAAAAAATTAGGAAACGTATGGAAGGGGAGCAAAAAGGAGGGGTTCATAAAGAAGGAAGGAGAAAAGGCGAAGATACACAAAAGAAGGACATGCTGTGCATGTCGTGCGGAGCATTGGACAATCATCAGGAATGAGATGCAGCTACAGCAAAAAACTACGTAAAGATGACGATTTTCAGAAATATTTGTTATTGTGATGATGCCTTTTAGAATTGTTTGTAAGGGTGGTTGAGGCCTTCATTTCTAGGAGAAGTTGCTATTATTTCCATAAAACAACCTAAGTTATGATTGAATTCCTG